TATAGAGAGAAAATTGAAGATGTGGAATTTTGTCAAGGTGGAGATTTGTTGAAGTTTGACAAATTGGCAGATTTTGCATCCCACATCGGTGGGCTATTGAATTTGGGGGGGATTTTCCCCCTATATAAAGAGGCCTAATGTTTAGGATTTAAAACACCTCTCAATTGCCTTCTTATCTATTTAAGGCATTTGTATCTTCTCTCTTTAGTATTATTTCACTTATATTCTTGGAGTGGAATAAAATATTTGATTGTGTCCGAGGAGTAGGCTAAATTGGCCGAACCTCGTTAAATTCTGGTGTTGCTTTTATTGTTGCTTTATTGTCTTATATATTATTTAGTAGCTGCCATAATTTTTGGTATAGTAGTTGTGACTTATTCACACTCTATACATTTGGCTTCCGCAACAGCTGGAAAATCTGGAGTATCTCGAACTAAGGGATCAGAGTTATTTTTCATTCGGGAGAGTGGTGCCTGGAAGATATCACGTTCCACAAACTTAAGTACTTGAAACTGAGCTACTTGAAAGTCTCAAGGTGGGAAGCCTCAGAGGAATTTTTTCCCCAGCTTGAAACACTTGTTATAAAACAGTGTGAATATCTCGAGGAGATCCCCCTTAGCTTTGCAGATATTCCAACTCTGAAACAGATTAAGCTGATGTGGGGCAAGAGCAATAAATCTCTGACGGCTTCAGCTGTGAGAATTAAGAAAGAAGTTGAAGAGAATGAAGGACCGTATCGACCTCATTACTGTGGTAAGTAGAAACAAACTCCAGTGTCATGTTTTAGTTGTCTTAATTTGCATCTAATGGTTGTTTAATTGATGTTTCTGGCAGTGGTGAGTCAAGCACGTGCTTGTCACAACAACATGGTATAGTTTTCAGCCCCCCCTTATAATTTCGATTTCAAACATAGCTTCCTCATAAATGTATAGCAATTCATGAAATTCCATTATCAACTAGCCCTTCTATATACAAATATTGTTTCCCCTTAAATTCTTGATCGAGCGCACTTTGCTTAGAGATTTGGACTGTATTATATTGCTCTCTTCTGCAGGAGAGTATCAAGCCAACATTCACCTTGCTGGGAGCTTTGGTGTCATGGAGTAATTGATATGGTGTCGCCGCGTGCAATTCATGTTTTCTGCAGTCAAGTCGTCTGATGAGACTGGTGCAATAAATTAAGAAAAACTCTTTGACTTTTTGCCTTTTCAAGCATTGTTAAGTTTAAGTAAGTCTCTGTGTGGTTGTTGGAGATATTCGATAAACTCTTTGCTCCAAAGTATTGGCTTGAAACACCCTTCTATTGGGTTCTGTAGCATTTCGAGCAACCCGATCGTGTGGGGTGTTTTCAATGTAAAACTGTTTTGTATATTTTCTATTCTGTTATGCTTGTATTTGCTTTGTTTCATTGTCATAAAAATTGTGTTGCTTTCAAGTAATTTCAACTGTCATTTTTTTGTTGAATGACATGTTATTCCAGCCAAATGAATTGTTTGTCTTCGCCTAAGTGTTTGTCTGCACGACTATATACATATATTCTTTTGATAGAAAAAACACCAGAAATTATAGAGCTCTGCCAACAAAAATAACAGTATGAATTAAACAAACTTTTGAAGTCTGTATCCAGAACACTATGAAGTTAAACAGAATATGGGCATAGAGGTTTTAAGAGGAGAAACAGATGCAAAGCTGCACATTTAGGGTGTGTTTGGTATGACGGCCAATTTTCCCATTTTATGCTACCTAACCAAACACCAAAAAATAACTAAGAAAACCAGTTGTTCTCCAAGAAAATATTTTCCTTCATACCAAACACGCCGTTGGAGATGAAGATGCTGAGCGTGTGTGCATGATTTAAGCTTTTGGTCTCTACTGCAAGGAGCTTGGCGTAACTGGTAAAGTTATTGCCATGTGACCAGGAGGGGGTTATGGGTTCAAGCCGTAGAAATAGCCTCTTGCAAAATTGCAGGGTAAGGTTGCGTACAATAGATATTTGTGGTCCGGCCCTTCCCCGGACCCCGCTCATAGTGGGAGCTTATGCCACCATCCACTCTATACCTTCCCTCACAGTTTGACAAGCTAGGGATACAGATAGAAGTATGATTTATAAATTATATTCGTAGTAGAAAGAAAACAAAATTGTAGAAGCGGTTTTGCTCCTCAATCGCGATATTCCAGCTGACAGGAGAAAACTGCAGGTAAAGACAGCTTATTGAACCATCCGATTAAAGTTACCAAAAGCCCTATGTTCACTTAATTTTCAGTTCAAATGTGCCTCATTAGTTGATGCCATATGTTCGTTTATTTCCATCCAAGATGGGTTGCAGGTCATACATATAAACAAAATACGTACCTGCACTAACACAACAGAATTCATATATCATTGACGGCTGATGACGCATATCTCTAAGTCTTCCTTTATCTTGGAAGAAGTTGGACATTCTGAATAAATGTTGGTTGAACGATACAATATCCAGCCTCTACATTTTGAGTTTAATATAGTAGTCGACTGAATACTACTGAAATATTCTTCTAGCAAGAAGTATCTCATCATCAGCATCTCACAGACAGAATAATAGGAAACTACTGCAATTGCTAGGAGTGGCTTGCATGATCATCGCGTTATAAGCGACTGACTTGTATATTAACTAATGCAACCATTAACTAATAATAATATACTAAGCAATGTTATTCATCAACAGATGTAACTATTGACTTTTTTTGAGGCCAATGGGAATGGATTATAACCTGCCAATTAGCTCTCTATCTGTATTATAATATGATAGCCCCTGTTACTAATTAAATACTGCAACCATTGACTTTTGGTAACATTTGGATCCAGTCCATATACATTAAACATGATTTTGGTTGAAGCTGATATTAATCTTTCCTAAAGAGAGAAACCTTTCCTCCTTCTGACCTTTATGCTGATATTAATCTTTTTTTCTTAGTTATAGTTATCAATAGAAGTTTTCTCCTACTGCAGACTTTGGTCTTTATCAGGTATATTTCAATGAACTTTCTAATTTCACTTGACATGTTACATCCGAAAATTGTTCATGCATTTAGTTGGATCTAAAGATATACTTTATTTTGTTGATCTGATCATTTTTACGACTTTTGTCAATCTCATTTTACCTCTGAATTCTTTTTTCCCTTTGGTGGAACCTGCTTAGCATTTTAATTATACTTAAACTCCATTTCCTTTTCTTGTTTTCAAAATCTTTAAGTTGGTTTCACTTGCAATTTGAAAGTCATGTTCTCATTTTGCTACTATTAATGGTCTTTGTTGTGAAAATAGGAGGTTTGTGCATTTAGAGTCAATGCCTAAAGTCGAATTTAACATTTACAATAAAGTAACAAAATTTCTATAGCAAGAACTGTAGCTTCTAACAGAAGATGTTGAAAGACATGAACAAAATGTTGCTCTGATTGAAACTAATATTCCAAGAGCTAGTTTGATGAATATTCGTAGCGTCTAACACGCATTTTCTACTTTACCTACAGATGGCACATAATGACATTTATGATATGCTAGATCACCTAAGAATGATCAAGTGTGGAGGTGATCTGAATAGAGTCAAGATTGATCAAATTGTTACACTTGAAACGGAGCTAAGATTTTTTCGAACTTTCCTCAAATACCATCATGTTCTTTCGCATGATTCCTTAGTCAAAATCACAAAGAAGGCCCAATTGATTGTGGAGATGCTTCAATCAGTTTTTGATGGTAACATAGATGAATGTAAAACTAATCTTAATGTGGAAAGGCTAGTATCACATTTGTTTGAATTCAAGGAAGATAATACCAGTCCAAGGTCCAATTATGAGCTGGATCATTCCTATCTGTCAGAATATATGGATTACCTCGACAAGAATCTAAATGATGCGGGGAGGTATCTAGTCAAGTCTGACCCTTTTTTGAGGAAAGGAATAAAAATCCTTCATAAGACAGATCGGTTTTTAAAGCAAGTGAAAATCATTCAAAACAAAATGAGATTTTTGAGATATTTATATGCCAAGGAGATAAATAGTTACATCGACCATGAGAAGCTGGAAGGTCTGGAGACTCGAATTCAGTTCATGGCTGACAATGTGGGGCAGCTCTGTCTTGCTCTTTGGCTTAATGAGGATGGAGATGATACGACTCATATCGAGGGTATGCCTCCTTATCTATTATCCTTGGTTGTGCTAGTCGAGCTGGAAATGAAGAAGATTTTTCTCTGTGAACTGAAGGCTTCAAAGTTTAGTCAATCAAGAAATTTCAAGGACAAGAAATTACCAAAAGGATTTTCACATCATCTCTACAATTTGCTAGTGTGTCTCAGAAAACAAAAGTTTAAGAACTTCCATTCTAATGTCTCTGCTCGAAATATTGATGTGGCAATAGAGTTCTTGTTGATTTTTCTTGGTGATGTTCCAAATCATGTTATTAATGGTAAGAGGTTGAATGAGGTATTGAAAAAGGTTGGAGCTCTTGTTGGTGATACAGTTTTTGTAATTCAAAATTTGCTTGCGACCTCTACAATAAAAGATAGAATTAGAAAAATTAATCTTCGATTGATACAGATACTAGAGGAAGTTGAAAATTTGAAGGCAAAAGTGGAGGAGATGTACTATATATCATTAGAATTCACTCCATCTCAGTTTCCCACAGTTGGTGGATTGAGCTTTCTAGATTCTCTCCTAAGAAAATTGAATGAGATGTTGAAATCTGAAGTAGGTTCAAATTTCACGTTGAAGCCTCACATTGGTATTTTAGAGAAAGAGCTCTCGTCTCTAACGTCCATTTTCAGAGATGTTGCAAAGGTGCAGCATGAACATGAAATTCTTAAAGACATTCAGAGGCGTACTATCAATTTGGCATATGAAGCTGAAGTTGCCATTGACTCTATTCTTGCTCAGTATAAGGCTCATTGGCATATTTTTTTCTCACTTCCCACAATCTTAAAACAGATCAAGTATATTAGTGCAGATGTGAGCAAGATTTGGTCGGAGAACATATCTCGTAAGCACAGCTTTGCAGTGGAGCCATCTAACCATACGCCATCTCAACATAGCAATCTTGCGGATGATGAGGAGATAGTGGGTTTTGAGAATGAAGCTGAAAGAATAATTCAATATCTGATTCAAGGTACAAATGAGCTAGATGTCATCCCAATTATAGGCATGGGGGGACAAGGGAAGACAACTATTGCTAGAATGGTGTATAATAAAGACATCATTGTTTCTCACTTTGATGGTCTAGCATGGTGTGTCATTTCTCAAACATATAACCGGAGAGAGCTATTACAAGTGCTTGTCAGTCAAGTTATCGATTACAATGATACGGGAGATATGGATGATGTCCTTGCCGCCATGTTGAGGAAAAGCTTAATAGGAAAGAGATATCTCATTGTCTTGGATGATATGTGGGATGTTAAAGCATGGGATGATTTCAGATTATCTTTCCCAAATGATAAAAACAGAAGTCGAATAATTGTAACAACACGACTTGAGGAAGTGGGTAGGCAAGTCAAGCACCATACTGATCCTTATTCTCTTCCATTCCTCCCATTAGATGAGAGTTGCAAATTGTTGCAGAAAAGAGTGTTTCAAAATGAAGGTTGCCCGCCTGAACTACAAGATGCGAGTCTAGCAGTTGCAGAAAGATGCAAAGGACTGCCTATAGTGGTAATCTTAGTAGCTGGAATAATAAAAAATAAGAAAATGGAAGAAGCTTGGTGGCATGAGGTTAAAAGTGCTATGTTTTCATATGTTGGTGAATTTGAAGAATATAGTCATGCGACTATGCATCTAAGTTATGATAACTTACCCGATTATTTAAGACCTTGCCTTCTATACATGGGGATGTTTCCAGAGGACACAAGAATTCCAGTGTCTAAATTGATAAGTTTATGGATCGCGGAAGGCTTCGTGCAGGACATTGAATCTGGGAGATCGGTGGAAGAGGCAGCCGAAGGTTACTTGATGGAGCTCATTAGCAGTAACATGGTAATGGTTTCAAGGAGAAGATATAACGGTAAAGTCAAATACTGCCACGTTCATGACGTAGTGCTTCACTTTTGCTTGAAGAAGAGTAGAGAAGAAAAGTTTATGCTAACGGTGAAGGGGCATCCTAGCCAATTTCAACTTTTGGATTGGAAGGAAAATCGACTGAGATTTGACATCACTGATGAGCTTTCCGAGATTGCATTGCTGGGCTCCAAAACACAAAATCCCTTCCATAAACATTTGAGGTCACTGATAACAACCTATGGAACCTATGTAGGAATATTTTTAGATTGGAATCCCTTCCCTCATATTAGTAAATTCAGACTTCTTAAGGTCTTGGATTTGAGTTACAATAGAGTGGATCGTTTGTCGTCATCTACATTACATCCATTAATTCACCTGAAGTACCTCGCAGTTTCCACATTTGATTTTGATTTCCATCCAGAATCACATCTGCGCCATCTAGAAACTATTATAGTGAAGGGAAGTGGTCGTGTATTGTTACCAGCAATTTTTTGGAAGATGGAAAAATTAAGGCATATTGAGTGTTATACTTGTTTCGATTTGGAAAATAATAAGCAATGGATCTTTGAAGAATCCTCAAAATTGGAAAATTTGAAGACATTAAGGAAGGTTGAATTTCCAATTGATGATGCTGATTGCATGGAGGTTTTATTACGAAGGTGTCCTAATCTTCAAGAACTTGAGATCAGTATTTATAGCAATGAATGGTATTCTGCAGAGATTTGTACTTCCATTCCCAAATTGGAGACTCTTACACAGCTTCAATTGCTTTACCTTTGCTTTCGTGGCAGCAATATTATTGTATCCGAGCTACATTTGCCTTCAAATCTTAAAAAGTTGGTGCTTTATGGGCCTCATATAGTAAGCACGGCTTCCTTGATTGCGGGACTACCAAGTCTGGAGTATCTTGAATTAATGGATTGGAGACGTGAGTCGGAAGAGTGGTGCCTCGGAGATATCACGTTTGATAAACTTAAGTTCTTGAAACTGGTGGACTTAGGTATCAAAAGGTGGAAAGCCACAGATGCATCTTTTCCCCAGCTTGAAACACTTGTTTTAAAAGGGTGTCACAACCTCAAGAAGATCCCCCCACCCTTCGCCGATATTCAAACACTAAAACAGATTAAGCTGATTAGGTGCGAGAATCTGGAGGCTTCAGCTTCGGAAATTAAGGAACAAGTCAAAAATATTCAAGGAAGCGACCTTGTTAACCTCATCATTATCAAAGTAAGTAGAAACACTATCCTATTTGCTGTTCTGAGTATAGGCGTGCATCTAATGTGTGAACAATATGTTCAATTCAGGATCGGTGGGGATATCTCCGGACGCTGTTTTGTCACAATAACATGGTAGTTTCTCAGTTTTACCTTGTTCGTTCTTTTTTTCCAATTCGATGCTCAACTTCTCTTAATTGCTCCATGAAATTTGCTTAGGCAACTGCAGCAAGAGCAGAGGCAGATTGGATGGATGTCTCATTGTCTTTCTTGGAAACTTTTTGAAGCCATGATCATTATGCAGCTGGCGGAAACACCCATCCTCTTATATTGTGACACTACTACTGATTGCTAAGGTTTTTTTCCCATTTATTGATAATACGCTAAATCAAGGTAATTTAGCGATTGTTTATGCACCCGCTTGATTATATTCCAATATCATAATATGGTTAATTGATGAAAAGTAGGCTATAATTGTGAATTATATACATTGCAGGATGAGGAGCTTATGTGACGCTCAAGAGGCTATTGGTACGATATATGAGAAAGAACGACCCCTCGGAGCTGAGTGTGCGCAAGGACGAGACAAAGAATTGAAGAAATACTGGCCCAGTAGCGCGAGCTCATGCGCGAAGTTAGAGCGAAGTCGCGCTAGTCTAGAAGCTGGAGGCAGAATGTCAGGGGACATGTGCGAGCTCGCACAAGCATTCGCGCTAGTCCCGGTCCGGAAAAGACCTGTTAAGGCCAAAATTGGAAATCTGAAAAAAAAAACCCACTTAACCTATATAAAGTCAATCTCGCCCAAGGTTAAATTATCAAGGCTTTCATAGTCTAGTGCAAGAAATAGAAAGGCAAGAGGCAAGGAGGAGATTTGACATCAAGTTCTTCTTTTCTTCTCTTTGTTTTTGCTATTTGTGATGAAATTGAACCAATTTGTGATGAACACTAGTACGAGTGGCTAAAACCCATTGTTCTAGGGTCATGGGTGAAACATGAATGTTGTTGTTTGAAGTTTAATTTGACAAAGTTGGTTTATCATATTGGGTTGTTTATTTAATTCTGCTTTTAATTATTTTACTCAGTAGCTAACTGTGAAATACTATCTATGAATCTTTAGTTAAACTCGAAAGTGATAACTTTAGATTGCATATAGAATTGATTAGAGCAAGTTCTTGAACCCGAGCCTCGGGGAACGGATTAGCAATTGGGATAAATATATACTTAATTGCCTTGCTTGGTTGAAATACAGGAATTGTAAATGCATTCTTGTTAATCTTAATTCCATAGACATATATGCATTGAGTTAACTTGAATAGGCGAGTAAGAACTCGACAGATTCTTATTAGTAATATCAACCTTGTCAATCAATAACTCTGATAAATCGCTTAGTCATTTTAAGCCAAGAACATAACACGATTGTTAACTAGCCCGTGACCCTAAAATATCCTCTCCTATTGTTTGTTATTCGAAATTGTTATTCGTTTGGTTAATTGCTCTAGTTAGATTACTTCTTGATAGTTTAGGTAGTAAAACAATTACATCTCTATTTTATGAAAAACCTCTTGAATAGATAAAGTAATTGAGTTTGAATCAGTTAATCACAAGTAGTCTTCGTTGGAACGATACTCCACTCACTACTCTATTACTTGACGATCACGTGCACTTGCATGAGTGTTTTTTGTGGCAACATTGATCAACATAGACTCATAGCCTACAGGGAAGAATTAGTTCATTTTCCTATACTTCTCTTTTCGGTATGTTTCAGAATTCAGATGATTGTAGACCAAAATCAGATGGCTCCGACTGTACTTTCTTGATGCCCATCATAAATATCATGCCTTTCTTATGTAGTACTATAATTTTAGAAGCAGTGGAAATTTCATGAATTTGCTATACAGAGGTGGAAACATTCTACCAAATGATGCACATATATCATATTGATAAGGATGCAGTGTCTTTCTATATATATAATCATACCCAGCCTGCTGATGAACATGAATATACAGATCAGACACAATGAACATTTAAAATCATCTCAAAACAAAATGAATTCGACTTACCTTTTCCAACTTCACTGTGTGACGTTGCAATCAGCCGTTTTCGGGTAATGAGCTTGAGTTTGAAACTCTCTCTAGAGCTTGACTCTCTTTTTTCTTGTCTTATATATATTCCTGTTCCAAATTTGCTATCTGCATGCATTCTTGATCCATCTTCCTAATAGAGGTGGTAAAATCCCAACAATATTATATATATATAAAGAATCCGGAAAGCCATCAGGCTTTAAAGGATAGGGAATGGACGAAGAACGAGGAGGCATTCTTCATAGAGAAGAGCCCTGAGAAATTTCACGATAACTGAAGAGGTAAACTGGCGGATCGGATCGAATACAGGCGGGTCAAAATGGATAATGCAAAACGGATTTTTAATTATCCAATCCAACCCATATTTGATACGGATAAAAATGGGACTTCATGAATATGATCAATCTTGGGAGAATTCCTAGTCTCCTAGAGGAACCCCCAATTTGAGATCCACTACTACAATTCCAGAAAAAAGCGACCAAAGTACGTTGGCCTGTCACGAAAAGCGACCAAAGTTGGACGCCAAACTAGCGAAAATAATAAAATAAATATTTGAAATACATTAGATAGATAACTGTTTTCTTTTATCCATTTTACCACCACTACTTGCCGGTGATAGATTTTGCAGATTTGATCGTCTTGTTTGTGTTCCCCAGAGATTGAAGGCTACGAACATCAGCCAATTCAACTAGTACAGCCAGGGGCGGATTTAGGGGCCGCAAAGGGTGTTCACCCGAACACCCTTCGCTAAAAAATTATACTGTATATATAAGACAAAATCTATTTTTTATCTCTATATATTAAGTTTTGAACACCCTTAACACAATCCAAGGGAATTCAAAATCTACATAGGTCATGAATTTAATTCTCACTAGCTACAAAAAAAATTTTGAACCGCCTTCGTGGAGATCCTGCCTCCGCCACTGAATACAGCCTCAAGCTCATAATAGAATTTAACAAGACAACTTCATATATATAACTCACGAAGCATTCTACCTTCGCGAGGAAATTCTAAAATAACGTTCTCATTGTATACTCCGGGGGTCGGAAGGTGACGGGGGAAGGAGGGGGACACTGGGCGAGATCTATCAGCAGCGAATTCCCCATACAAATAGAGGCACCTATCAAAAAGATACTTCGAATACTTTGGGATCGAGGTCTCATTAGCCGAAGAAGACCCTGGCCAATCCACATGGCCTGCTTGACGAACGTCAGCGGCGGAGACATCGTAAGTTGGTCCGCGGGTAAGCATTAGCTCTCTTTCAAACCATAAGGGACACTACTGTGCAATGTACGAAGTATCCTGAATTAATTAAGCTCCTGTTTCGCCATACATTTTGGCTTCAAGTTTCAATCAAATATATGTCCAAACGCTATCTAGCTTAAGATTGCTTGATAAATATTTATCAAACGTTACTTGGGCTATTTAATTTTAAGTAGTAGTGGTCCAAACTTTGCTTGTGTGCTAATGTATACTATGCGATAGTGAAGATGGCCGGACCTCCGACCAACATCAATTTCCCGATAATTAACTTCAATTACTAAGTCATAGAAGAAATTAGGATTTTAGTTAGAACACCAAAAAATTTCAATCTTTTTGAGCTGACATGAGTATTAAAACGATATTTTGAATAATAAAAAATAGGTATAAGACACTGGTCCTAACACGAGATGTATGCCTCACAAATTTTTAATCAAAAACCAAGAAAGGTGCCAAAAACTGATTTTTGCCCAAGAATAATACTAGTATTCAAAGGCCGTCCTCATACGTAATTAATTACTTAATTAAGCAATAATTAATCTAAACGCCGTTCCCGTAATTCCACCGCAGCGATAGAGAAAGTTCATGTCCTTTTCCACTCAGGCGGCTGTTACAGTATCACTACTATTAATTAATCAAGCAATAATTGTTGTTTACCTACCATTAGTTATTAATTAATCAAAATAATTGAGAGTTCCGAGTCCGGAACCGAATTGATGACAAATTTGACTCAAAATACATTTTTAATGTTAAAAAAAAAAAGTTACTTTTCTAGTGATTTCGCAGTATTTTACTGCGAATTAGCTTAACGGAATTTTTTTCGTTAACCTAATTCGCAGTAAAATACTGCGAATTATTAAAAAAAATATCTATTTGTAATTCGCAGTATTTTACTGCGAATTAGTTAAATTTTTTTTTTTTTTTGAAAAATTTAAACAAAAAAAAATTTTAAAATTTAAAAAAAAAAAAAAAAAAAATTTACCTAATTCGCAGTATTTTACTGCGAATTACAAAAAAAATAATTAATTTTTTAATTTTTTTAAAAAAAAAAATTATAGATCGTCAAATTCAAAAATTTATAGATAGTCAAATTTATTGGGAATATTGAATATGTTCCCAATAAAGAGGTGGAAGATTGTGCCATTGGGAACTGACTCACTTTTCACACAAAGACATTTATCTCCCTGCATGAGATTACCTCATTCCTTTCTCTTTTTATGTTTAACAATTTTTTCTTTTTAAACTGTCAAAAAATAAAAAAAAAAATCATTTAGAAAATTTTAAATAATAAAACAAAAAATTCTAAGGCTTATTTTAAGTGATAAATTTAATACAACAACAATAACAAACCTAATATAATTTTTTTATATATATTTTCAGTTTAGTTTTTTCATCTTTTAGTTTACAGTACAATGTTATATATAATTTTTCATCTTACAATGTTTTATATAATTTTTCATCTTACAATGTTTTATATAATTTTTTTAACAAACCCAATACAATGTTACTCGATATTTATACTGGTAGATATATTTCAAACTTGTAAACTAATGTCATTGCTGATGCTTTTGCTATCAAACATAACAGTTCAGTCGATGTCATTGCTGATGCTTTTGCTATCAAACTAAGTAGTCATTTAGAGATGAAATATATAAGATAGTTGTCATTTTTTTTACTTACGTTTATAGCTTTAATCCTTATATTGAATTATTTAAGACTATATATTACATTATAGTAAAATATTTACTAAATGATAACTCTACATTTCAAACTTACACATATAAAATATGTAATTCGCAGTATTTTACTGCGAATTAGGTAAAAAAAAAATTTTATTTTAATTTTAAAAAAAAAATTTAAATTTTTTATCATTCCGGTAATATAT